CCCCCTCTTTTTCTCTTCTCTTCACTGTAGGGCTTTTAGTACAAATATATATATATCTATATATATATATATAACTAGACGAATCTTATGGTTGTACGGCAGTGAAGCGTCAGTGCCAACATTGATGTTGCTGTCTTTGATGATGATGATGGATGGGCGAGATGGACTAAGTGGTTAGAGCACGAATTTACTGACCGGAAGGTACGTGGTTCGAACCCCACCTCTGCATCTCGACTTCCCCTGTCTAGGCTTGGGCAACCTGGCAGTATACCAACCCTCACGCAACCTTCGGGTGGCATGGCAGTTGGGTACCGAGTGTGTGCTACAGCTGAACGGATTTTTTATTTATTTATTAGACACGACCTTGCCATTACGACACCCAGGTCCGAACATACTAATGCACAATAGCTGCACGTCAGGCTCAGATGGTCCCATGGATGAGATAGTGGGCTACCTGTTCGGCAACCCACCGTTCGAAGCACCGTACAAGCACCTTCAAACAGGCTGCTGGCTCCCATCCTGATTTCGGAATCAAACACGTGGAAAGAGTCCATAAATAGTCTAACCGTATGTCCCTCAAATGTTTCCACTATGCTAAGTGTGCATCTGTTGTAACTAGAGCCCTGCTACGGGGACAAAAGCCACATAAACTTCATATAATGTTCCCATCAGACTATACATGAGGACAACTGAAGAGCCGAGATGGCAGAGTAAACACGTCATATGTTCCAGTGGATGAGCTTCTAGCCTTACGAACAAAGTCAGGATAAGGTGCACCAGAGAGCTCTATAGTCCCACAAGTACACACATAAAGGTGTCGAGTCCGCACTCACAGACAACTGTTCTGACACAACACTGGGTTTGGGTGGCACGTCGGTAAGGAACGGGCGGACGCATTCCGGATAGTCGTAGAGCACTTGCAACACCTGTTTCATGGATGAAGGTCGATCACCATACTGGTGTTGACAACATAGGCGAATGAGTCTCCAGCTGTACAAAGAGACAGGTAGAGAAAAAGGACTTTATTGTCATGTGACTTTCTTCTAAGAACATGCGCAACCAAACGAAAACTAATCATCAACATTGGCAGCGACATCAAGGGGAGAACACTGGCACACGTACATGAGCAAGATAACAGGTCCTGGTGGTGGCCTGCCACAAACACTCAGACAGTACGAACAAAAACTGACAGCATGAAAGCCAGTGACGTCGATTAGAGTCTGCGGCCAAGCACAGGAAGGATTACGAAAACCCCATCCCTGGAGGTCAACGGCATCCGGGCTTTTCATAACCTCCTTGACTCTCTTCTGAAAGGCTGTTCAAGTGTTGTGGCGAATCCAGAAATGATCAGGAGGGACAGTGGAACAACTCAAAAACATACGATATCAATTCTGAGTAGAAAAGGGAGGACAACACACTTCAACAGAGTACTTTGGGCTATGCTCCAGTGTGCATTCGAACATTCATACCGCTTTGTCCCGATTCACGAAGACAACCAGAGCCACGTCAACACAGAGTGTTAGCCACTCCACGATGGACATCCTCGAGGGACAGAGTACTTTGGGCTATGCTCCAGTGCGCATTCGAACATTCACACCGCTTTGTCCCGATTCACGAAGATAACCAGAGCCAGGTATACGCATGCTCGTCAACACAGAGTATTAGCCACTCCACGATGGACATCCTCGAGGAGTCATCTGCATCACCTGTCGATCACAAGTTATCGTACACTCGCCCAGATAATGGGCCAGTTCAAAGGGAAGTTAAATACTCCCCCCTCTGTTTCTGCCATAAAACGGTTGTATTTTTCTGAAGAAGCGTAGAACCATAAGGATCCACACAAAAATGCAAGCTGTTACCGGTTCCACAACAACATTTGTGCAGGTTACCTAACAAAGACAGATCATTCGAATAAGATCGTCATCGCCACCTCGTCATACCCTGGCAGCAATATATATTGCTGTTATCGTGGGCAAATGCGGGATTGTCGTTTAGGGAAGGTGATGACCTAGATAAGTTTCATTTTGCTGAAAAGACAGTGGATGTATGAGAGCCCTCCTGTGGAAAGGAGCGTTGTGGCATGGACACTTTCGGACATTTGACCAACAAATGGTGTCTATCCGGAAAGGACCATGTCTGGACGGACACATCAAAGTAACAGGTAGGGAGACAGACCATTAGCCAGAAATAGAGCTACCGACAGAAAAGCGACCAACGGCCTCGAAAGTAAAGTGTATAAAAGGCTGAAACGGCCAGAGAGCTGACACAAAGACTCACACGGCGGTGTTTCTGGCACTTGGTGGCAAAAAATCGGAAATACCAAATTCCATCCGTTTGACTCGTTCCACTACCTCGACGTCGCCCATATCGCTGTAGGGGAACACTCCAAAGGTGACAATCTCGTAAACCGTTATCCCGTAGGACCAAATGTCGGATTGTACACTGAACATACCGTATTGCACAGCCTCCGGAGACATCCACCGTATGGGTAATTCGCCTGAGAGGAGACAACAGCCCAGCAGGGACAGAAAAGCAGCACAGATAACTAGGGAGGAGAAGGAGACAGTTTCCAACGAAGCCACACAGTTGTGGGTTTAAGAGTCAAACAGATGAAAGGAGAACAAGGAAAATTTATGATGAAGACCATTGAAAGTGAGCTTCAGAAGACCTGAAATGACCCCGACCACTGTTCGGGCGCTGAACCCCTCCTCTAGTGGCTGGCTAATGTGCTCCCCCCTAAATGACGGACAGGGCTGGCCTCGGACAACTGCAGGTGAAGCAGTAACGGAAACTCCTAGTGGTGAGGCTTTCCGCCTGCCCTATTCTACATCTCCTATGATGACACAATCAAACCAGAAGGCAGGGTTAGGTAGAGCTTACATAGGCCATATATCCACATTCGGTAAAAACGGTGCAAAACGAGAGGATCTGAACGTGGGCGTCAACGTCAACAACAACAGCAATACATTACTCACACTAATGCTTCGCTGCCGTACAACCACGATTTATTTGAAAGCCTTATTGTGAAGGAAAGAATAATAGTGGACGAAGAATGGACTTAGTGCTAGCTTACCACAATCATTCGGAAGTGCCTACAATTGAAAGCACTAATTCAGGTAATCTGGATAGAAATTGATAAGAATACCATTACCATCGAGTAGCAGCCATATCCTGCAACGTCTCCGATCAGTGGGGAACACGCGCTCCCCATCCCAGAAGACGAGTAGCACCGACGTAGCACCCAAACGTCCCGTGATCTCTTTCATAACCCTCTGCTAGCTCGAGGGTTACCCACCTCTCTGTTTCAGCCGCTCTGAATCGGGCACGGCAAACGGCACTCTCTTCGGCAAACGATGGTTGGGCATAAGCAACACATGGTCAAACCAACGCAACTTCTGGTGCTGGACACATTCTTCAATGGAAGTGCCCGTTGCACAACCGAAAACTAACTTTCTAATTGCCTCGTTAAGCATTCACCGATACAAACTTACACGAGCTATGGTTCTGAGACAATGAGTGTCGAACACCTGAAGACGTCTCAGTTCTGCTGCTCGGACAGGCCAAGTCGAACAGCGATACAACTAAACAGCCCACATTGTGGACTGATATGCAAGTCCCATGAGATTCAGGGATAAAGTGCTCTGCCACCATAGGTGTCTCAAATTAACAAACGCGACCCGAGCGTTGCAGATTCGTGCATTGACCTCATTTGTTACATTACAATCAGAACCAATGCAACGTCCAAGATACGTAAAACGCTCCACAACTTCGAGTGCCTCTCCCTGTTTTGCAAATGGGGTATTTAGTGGCTGCATGGCCCAACACTTTGTGGGTGCAAAGTACATACCAAAGGACGGGATAAATTTGGTTACTTCATCCGAAAATACCTGCGTCTTCTCCTCCTCTTCCAAGATGAGAACAATGTCGGGTGCATATTCTAGAAAGACACTGTTTTCGTCAAAGGTTATTTGAAAACTAGGGTGGCGAGGACCTCTCAGCGTTCGTCTCATTATCTCATCAATCACGAACTCAAATAGCAATGGGGAGGGTGGACACCGCTTTGTGTACGGAAGCTTTTGGAGAGCCCTCCGTATACTCTTACACGCCCAGGAGACTAAAAATCATCAGCTGTAGTAACCGCGTACTTGCCGTACAGTGTTTGTAGCTGCCAACATCATTTCAATTGGTATAAACTGATACAGGAATGTATGAACCTATCGTCTTTTCCTATTGGCGGACGCCTGAGTGCGTAAATGTTCTCTAAAAACCTCTTTTTAAAAGGAGTATCCGGCGAGCATGCCATATGTCATCATTGCCATGACCTCACTAACAGCAAATATGAATCGGAAATGAGATGATCTTAGGGAGTGAAGGACACCCTTCCGCACCTAACTTATCCAATAGAATTTCACACTGATGAGCGGCCGGGTTGGCTGCCAATTACTGTTGCTGCTCCATATACACGAGAGAAAGTAGTCAGATAATAAAACTCCGATGGCAGCATTTGGTCCAAACGAAAGTCAAGGTTGTATTCCTCACGAGTGCGAGCAGTGTCCAAAGGAAAGCAACAAAAAGCGGAATGACAAAACGCTACAAAAGCTAAATAAAAGACAGTGCAATTCCGCAAAAAGCAACTCACAGTTTCGTGTGAATCGGTAGTAACCATCTGGCCGGTTCGTGGTCTTCTCCCGAGTTAGTCCAAAATCACCAAGTTTGACCACATGATCCGATCCGACGAGACAATTGCGACAGGCGATATCACGATGAATAAGGTTCTTACTGTGGAGGTACTGAACGCCCTGAGCAATATCAATGCTCATTTTGGTTAGGGTCGAAGGTCGAATGTCTTCGTGATCAGGTGAGCTATGGGAAAACAAACAACAGTGAAATCGGAAAGTCGGCGGATCAAGTTGCCGAAAAAAAAACAATCTGACTGATCACGACCATAAACTCACGGGCAACAAAACCAACATCAACACATCAGTGACTGGGATGTCGGCGTGAAACGATGTGTCCTGAGGTATGAAAAAACAAACACTGGAGACGACTCCCATCTTACTGGGACTACTTTTTGAGAGTGGATGGCGTGGCGGGTCATAGAGTTTCAGTGGAACGTGGTAACACCAGCGCCATTGTTTGCTTCTAGCCCACAGTTATGTTACCCCTTGCTTTTACACGACCAGCAGGGAGCAGGGATATCCGAAAAGCGATGATACACAACATCAAACTTGGTCGTCGGGTTTCGGTCACTCAACCGGCCAACCTTGTCCTTAGAAGGTCGTCGTTGGGCGTCACCAGGAGACTCAGCACTCTTCGACTATCCTACCATTCATCGAGGTAGCCGACTTGTCAGAGTTGTTCCAGTGTAGGTTTGGCAGCAATAGATATCCGGAACTGCCAAATACGGAACGCGAATGTACAGCAGAAAGCATAACCAGATGAGCTTTCTCTTCAACTAGAGGGGTTGGTCAACACCCAGCGGTAACTACTCAGCGGTCATTCATTACACACCATTTTGAATCACAAACCCACGGACTGGTGATAATCAGCTACTCAGCGGACACCGGAGATCAGTCAGTAAGGACTTTCTGACTACTCACCAGTAGTCAGGTGACCAGTGGAATTAGTCAACGGCAGGTTGAACCAAGAATCACCTCTGAAATCGCATTCGGTGTTAGCGCAGTCCAGAGGCAGTACCCCGAAACTGCCAGTCAGCGGGCCACTTGCCCAATCTTCTACACCTACCTGATGCATCTCAGTAAGGACTAAAGTGTTCGCTCGACTGAACTTTCAAGCATCCAAGCACATCACTAAAAGGTGTTCGCGTACCGTTTTATAGAGACGCGAAAAGCAATGACTGACGATGAGTGTCAAACATGCGTCAGAATGAAATACAAACGTTTTTGGTACACATGAACTACAGAAGAAAGGAGGACTTAAGATCAGAGACCCTCCTGTAAAAATATAAACCATGAAATGGATCGAAATGGGCACTAACTCAGCTTTCGATAGTTGCTGGCTATACGAATTAGGGGAAAAAGAGAGGTAAGCAGCTCCGGAGATCAAACTTGTGGCCTTTTGAAACCTCACAGGTGGAGATAAAGGAAGAGGCAACGGATGATTGCACCATGTTCTTTCATCCATGCACACAGCTTCCCTCTAGTCTGTCCAACAAAAAACTTGTATCATTCATTCGCCGTACTGCGTTATCTCTCTTTCTCTGTTTGGTGGGTCTCCTTTGATCTAGAGATAAGTTTCTACGAATGAGCGATCCGTTTGTGAGTTGCCATGATTACTATCTAATGTAGTAGCAGCCTTGCTTTGAGTTCTTGAGGTATGGGAGGATTATCCTTTTGGTTGTTTGTTCTTGTGTCATCTAACAATTATTAGGCCTTCCCAAATTTTTTTCAAGCGCATCCCATTTATATACAAAGGAAACTACTCACAAGATTGCTGAAAACTCTTCGAAAGGCCACGACCGGTTTCGCCCTTCTTGCGGCTCATCAGGTAGGCGCAGTCCACGAGTTTCCGTCAACCTTATGTTCTACTTGAACCCAAATTGCACTGTTTTCGAGAAATACACTAACTTGCAAATCAATTTGGTTTTCACCAGAGACTCAACTGAGTAGTTTGCTTTATGAAAATATACTGCGATATCTCGAACATCGTGCCAACTGAATCATGAGGCGGTCTGTGTGCAGCACATTCAGTTGTAGAATATCATAAACAAGGGATTCATTTGAGTCTCTCGTGAAAAACAAATTGATTTGCAAATGAGTCATTTGAGTCCTCGTGAAAAACAAATTGATTTGCAAATGAGTGTATTCCTCGAAAACGTCACACTTAGGTTTAAATGGTGCATGAGCGTTTCTATGATGGTCAGTTCTCAGTGGATGTTTTAAGCTACTTAACTAGTTAGTCTGTGAAGTGTATTCTTGATGATGAATCATGTGATTAGACGGACTAATGTGAGTGGCTAGACAAGGTGCTGATACAACCTACATTGCCGTTGGGTTAACTACTCATTTTCACGTTTGACCTTGAACCGTTCATGATCCATTGGACACCGGTGCCGTATTTTTCTACTATTAATAGTGACAATCGTGGGTGTCTGCGACCAACAAATCGGCGATTCATTTAGCATATTGTATTGCTACGACTCAGGCATCTGGATGGTCTGATGCCGGTCGGTGACTGATATGCTTGATGGAAACATCCCCGCAGCCCGTGGAGGAGTTCTTCGTGCGCAGGCAGGTGAAATTCTCACACAAGTGACTTTCGGCGATCGATAAACGCAGTAACTATATGTGTACATCAAATCAGATGGACGTTTATTTTAACTGAAACAATGAGACCAACGGGTCCTGTGGACTGGTTGATCGTAGTCTAAATTCGTCTTCGAGTATGGAGTATTTCGATGCTCAGTTGGCGTACGATGAAACGACTTCGTATGATTGTACTGCAGCCTCGTAGTTTGTTGCTGCCACCCTAGGTTCTGCATTGCTCCTTGTCTCTATAGTTGAAGCCATCAGATCTGCAGGTTTCAATCCCGGTGAGGAACAATAGAGGATGATAATTAGTCACCGGAGTTAATTTCGCAGTTTATTTCCTAACCTATACGTACTACGGGGAACGAGACGTGGTCCGTGCTCTCACGTCTGGCGGGTAGAAGGTAGACACCCAAACATAGAAGCTGGTACACGCAAAACACACTAGGATTCCCTACATTGGACGGTGGTTCCAGTCGCAGTGACAGTCATCTACTGAATGAACGAGTGCCTCATGCAAGTGCCTCTAAGCATGCAGAGAGGCCCAGCGGTCTTCCATTAGCCCCCTTAGCAGCACACAAAACACGGTCCTGAAGAGATGAAAGTTTTCCTCCAAAACGACCTGGTTCAGTACCTACATGATGTACACAAGAGTTAGGAAGGGTGAACTGGTCTATACAGACGGTGTTCCATCGCATTTCAGATTCAATCTGAGTGTATAACATCCCATGCCCCCCATATACACACCTGATAAAACCTCATAAGGAAGAAGATCCAATCCCACGATTCAATCAACTTATTTGGTGAACACGGTAACTCGTCAAGAAGGACGCTAACGAAAACCCCGAAAAAATAATATTCTTCGGAAATAGGTGCTTTTAATGCTTCTGAATCGTGTTATTTTTCGGTGATAAACACTCTCCACTCATCTCAATTTCCTTAAAAACTGAAGCATTACTCATGAGGTGATTTTGTTAGCTAATTTCCCGATCGGTTGACAAGCTAACAACCTATAAATGAGTCCATTTATGATTGGAAATTGTGTCGTGTTTATGGACAAGAAGTGTGCGTGTTCAGCGAAGTGCACTCCGAGTTGCCGTTGCGTTCTCCAACTAGACGTGGCGCTACAGTCCGTTCAGTGGAACTGTGACCACTCGGTGTTATAGGACCTCTGAGGTGTCCAAGGCGTTTTTGAATAGTGCCGCTGATTGCCAATACGCGTGGATTCTCTACAACGTTTGTTCGCGGCAAGTCATTTGGACTGTAAACAAAAAAACGTTCAGCTGTAGCACCCTCACGGTGTCTGGCTGCCATGCCACCCGAAGGAAGCACGAAGGCTGGGATAGTGCCAGGTTGCCCAAGCCTAGACAGGAGAAGTCGAGAGGCAGAGGTCAGGTTCGAACCACGGAGCTTCCGCGCTCTTACCACTTGGGCCATCTAGCCCACTGTAAACAAAACGGACCGGTAATCTGCAGATTGTCTTGCCCTACTGCGCCTGACTGCTTCCTTGATAAATGAAACAAGCTCCGAAGTCGCATGTACAGTGAAAATCATTTTCCCGGTCATCCAGAAAATTGAAGCAATGATAATTGTAAATGTGTTATACTGTCGACAATTTTGTGAACAGACGTGGTGGTGCTTGTGACATTGTTAAATTTTCCCCGCATACGAAGCCGAAAGTTCGGCTGATTCAATTAGTTACTTAGAGTGTTTTGCAAAAACTTCCAAATATCCATGTACTTCAAACGTCATTTGTCCCAACTAATGTAATAGTCACCCGGGAGGAACAAAGCCACACTTGAAATTTTATGCTATACTTTTACGAGTTCTTGTTTGGTTTTCACAGTCAGAAAATTCTGAAAACCTAGCGGAACTAAGCCAGTTATTAGGGCTTTTTTGCATTTAGTCGGTAGCTGAACCGTTTGCATAGAACCAACATGCAACATTGTAGATAGGATAGAACGTAAGCCGGTCATAAAATCCACGCAAGTTTTATTACGTAGAATGTGCGTTTAAACGTGGATTTGTGACTGCGCTATTCATCTGCAGGGATTGGATGCACCTTCCATGACCACTTTGATGCTACGGAAAATTCCGATTCACAAGTTTGGGGTAGGGTACGGGTACGTGTGCGCGCATTTATGTGCGCGCTGACGAGTGGAATCCATTTGACCAGGAAACTAACACACACACACACACACAGACAAGATACAAAGAGCCTCAGAGAACAATTATGGCCATCTATGCGCAGCAGACTGATTCCACTCTGGAAATGCAGACGTAATAAACTGTACATCTGAAGCAGCGCTTGCAAAATGTGACCATAAAACTCAAATCTCTGCTTCCAACTGTGAAGTCACTCTGGAAATGCAGACGTAATAAACTGTACATTTGAAGCAGCGCTTGGGGAATGTGACCATAAAACTCAAACCGACGGTAAATCCATATTTGGGAAGTCTAATTTTGCTGTGGTTTGTCTTGAAAAGCTGACCAGTTTTTCTCTCGTGTGAACCCAATACCGATGACACAATCGCACATCACAAACCTCATGCAGCATGACGATGCGTTCTCGTCAAGCTGGACGCCTCACCGGTGTAGTCTATCCAGAGAGTGTCACGATACTGTCCAATCCATGCCCTGGTGACAGTGTCACAGCTTGACTGAACAAGAAAATTCGCAACACTACATCTTGGGATAATTGTTAATCGGCTGGCAATTGATAGTAATTATCGCTCAATTGTTGGAAAACGTTTGGAACCGGGTGAGAAATCGTTGCTTCACACGTCCGAAAAATGGTTAGCATGTTATTTGCCCAGCAATCTGAGGTTATTCTTTATTCTCATGAGACTACTGAAAACCCTTCAACAACCCACTACGAGTTCCGTCCCTCTTGGGTCTCATCAGACAGGTGCAGTCCCCGAGTTAACATCAACTTTACGTTTTGTTACGTTTGATAGATTTCAGCGGTATTTTCGAGGCGCTTGGCACATCTTTACAGATTTCATGAAGCCTGAACCAATCGCTGGTTGTAAAAGACAAAACATCAGTGCATACGAGATTTTAGCTGGTTGGCAAGGGTGGCACACTCGTTCATATTTGTACGCAACAAAAGAGGTGGCTAAAGGATGAACTAGGAAACCGCCAAAGATGATGAACAATGAACAGAACCACGGGGTTGAAGATAAGTTTGCGACAGTTTATTACCGAGATTCACAAGTTAGCTGAGAGATTGACTCGAGTGGCACTCGGACACAATTCCGTCAGAAAATTAGCGTTTAACTTCGTAGAATCTATAGCTTGAAATAGTAGTACACTCTCGAAGGGTTCACCTGTGGTGGCTTCCAAGGTATTCAGCAGTACAGATAATGGTATATCGGATCGAAAATAAAATTCGTTCTGATCCGAACAGACAAAAGTGCCGCACCAATTTGCAAAACGTATCAACCACAACAATTAGAAAACAGGCACAAAAATATCACAACAAAACGGCCCTAACCTACCGTTGTGCCAAAATTCGCCTGGAAAGTAAATATGTCTTCAAGTCACCCAATAACATCAATTCCATGATCAGATAAAGTGTGTCTTTCAGTTTCAGCGATATCCCGATCAGTCGCACCACATTCCGATGCTCCAACGAGCGCATCAACTTGGCCTCAGACAAGAAATCTATTTTCCCCTCGTAGGTAGCCTTTTCGTTCAGAACCTTGACCGCCACGGCCTCCCACGTCTCGTTTGTTTTCGCCTCGCCACCAAACACCAGACCAAATGCACCTTGACCAATGTGTCGGTTGAGAACAATCGCTTCCATCGGCATCTAGATGGAGGAAAATAACTTTTATATTTGAGCTCAGCTGAGTTGCGAATATTTATCAGCCACTTATGACTACCAAAGCCATCGAACTAGAAGAACTCGAAACGCATGAAGGGATGGCAGCCTTCCTCAGAGAAAAAAGCAGATTCAAGCTCTCACGCGAGAGCACCACCGTTGGGTAGGGTACACGGCGGTCAGCGTCCAGGAGGTGGTCTCTCTCCGTTTATTCCCATGCCCTCATTTAACACGTAAGTCGCTCTAAATCCTCTCAAATTCATATCAGGCGGCGGCAGTGTGAAGTCTACAGATTCATTTCAACGTGCACGAAGGTCCGTCTTAGCGCCATTGTTGCTTGTCGATCGGTGATTAGGGTTCAGCTGAAATTTCCAGTGCCACCGATTATTAGTAAATGGCTTCCTAGAATTGCTGGCAGTAATAAAAGTGGACAAGCCTCTTCAGTAAACAGTAATAAGATTGCCTTGACCTTGAAACTCCGGGTTCGAATGACTCAAGAGGCTCGTTCTACCTATCAAACGGCCAAGTTAGGGTTATGGTTATGGGTCAGTGGGTTGTGCCAAAGGTGATTGTGATGTACACTTTTCCCAGGGTTCAAAACGCTAATTTCCTTCACTGTGTTACGTTAAAACAACAAAGAAATTCTGAGCTTAATTCAAAAGGCGATTTCCACGCATAAGACGGACTGAGCGGTTTGATCAACAATATCTCACAGATGGTAGGGGGAAGGACATTGAGCAAAGTATTTGATCTGCAATTGTGACCCATGCCTGGTGAGCGACGAAAAGTCCAGTTAACTCACTCCTTTTTGGGGCGAGGTGGCTCAGTGGTTAGAGCGCGAATTTACTGACCGCAGGGTCTGTGGTTCGGATCCTACCTCCGCATCTCGGTTTGGGCAACGTGACAGTATCCGGTCCCTCGTGTTTCCTTCAGGTGGCATGGCAGCTAGGCACCAAAAGATTCATTTATATTTGGAAATGAGTATCGAACCACTAAGGTAGACAGTTTTGCTGGCGTAATTGTCGCACCAACTGCAGTTGAACTGCGACACACTAGGTGAGACAGACTAGTTTACTAAAATATACTTTATTTTTGCGGAAGATAATTCCAGAGCCGACAAAACTGGTAGCATTGGGGCTGTAGGCAGGTGCACTGTACATACACCAGTGAAGATGTCATAAGCATTCACCATTTGTAGGGTGATCACCTCTGAATGACGATCCCAGCAGCGTTGTTTTCTTTTTTGCCAATAATACGGTCTCGGTTTTACCTGGGATCCTGATGTATCCCCCTGAGGCGACTGTGGCGACTACTAAAATTCGGTGATGCCGACCCTTCTGTCTCCATCGAAGACAAAATCTGGACTAAAACACGTTAGCATCGGACAGCAGTGAAGTTGGAAAACTGCGGACCACGTAGATTTGCGGCAAACTGCTCCCTTCGTCTGTTGCCCGCACCATCATTTTCGTGTCAAGGTGTGATTTTCGAGGGATCAGAAAAGCCGAGTTGAGTCAGAACCAAGGTGGCACACATGATGTGCTTACTTCGCATTTCACGAAAAATCCGCTAGTCCCTTAATCACTAGGCCGAGACATTGAGGCGATGTTTGATGATACAAACAAAAGAAGCTTGGAACTGTCGTGGTTGCTGATTCTCCGATCAGAAGTTTACTAGACGAACGATAGATCCAAGTCTCCAAGAGGATGCTTGGTGAAATAGGGTTTCATGGAAATTCGCTATCTAGCAAAGTCAAACATTCTAAAAGGCACTTTATTTATGCCACCAAATTCGTCCCCTCACTCACCGAAGTCGATTCGGCTGGAACTTATGATCTGACGGAGTAATCCACCATGTTTTGGAGCTATCCACCAAAGTTACTGTTTCGTGTACATTACTAGCGGACGATGGGTAACGTTCAGAAGTGGCTTCACGCTAAAGCATACCAGTGATTTCATCGGGTATTCCAGTTTTTCCGCTGTCAGCTATTCTTCGCCAATGTCCTAGGTTTTCTACAAGGCCATGTTTCCTAGAAGGCTGATATTTTTTTCAAAAATAAACCGTCGTATTCAAGGCCCAATTCATGCACTGCTGATACAGTTCACTTCTTAAAGAATCGGTTCGATCACCTTTTGCAGTGACCAACAGCTACTCATAAGTAGTGCAGAAGTTGTGCTGCCAAATCACAGCCTATTTTAAATTAGTTGACGAAAGTAAGGGAGAAATGTATGACTGTTCAAACTTGTTAGTCACTGTCGAAGAAGCGTGAAATTTTCGCATCTTCACTGCTTATCCACTATTTTCCAAGTACAGTGTGAAAGGGATAAGAGAGGATACAGTGGTTTCAGTTTATAGTAAGAATTTTACTACAAAAGCGTGCACATAGGGTGTCTACAAGTTCTCCTCATTGACTTTTTCTCTAACTGGTGACATTTTTGCATCGGGCAACCCACCACACAGCGGTCCAGTGTGGCAAACCACATAATGTGGTGCTGTCTACCACCAGAAGGCTGAAAAGCGTACAGTGGGATCATCAATTAACGCTCCAACGATTCAATCAAAGACCTTTTCGGGGAGCCAAAGTTGTTTTAATCACATCTAGAAATGTCATATCAGTACTTCACGGGGCAAAAACATTGATGAAACCGCTACAAAAACAACTCACATCCAGATCCGCTAGTTCCGCACACAGCTCTTCAAAAGGTTTCCTCGTACGCTTTTCCGCCTCACGGAGTTTTCGACGATAATGCAAACTGGCCAGAATAACCGGAACCAGACAGAGTACAGTCACACAAATGGCAACAAACACAGTCGCACCAGTGCAACCCATATTTAGAGTATGGCTGAGAAATGGAAAGGCACAAACTTCCGAGACGCGTGAGCCATCGTGAGGCGGCCCGCCAAGGAGGCTCCAGCTGACGTTATCCACAGTTCTCCTGATCACGTGGCGCTCGAACGAGGCAAAGTCGTCCAGTAAATCCTGTGTGTCACTAGTATCATTCCCACCGGTGCCTGTTACAGTGGCACTGGCAACCGTACTTCTTCTATCACCGTTTATTTCGGTTGTGTCTGAATCGATTAAAGCTACACGGTGTTCCGTGGTACGGTGCTGGGATGCCGTTGCATCCATACTGCTGATGCTAACATCAGTGCTCGACTGATTAGGACTGAAACTCCACCAGTAGATTGGGATTGTGGTCTTCACTTGATTTTGTTTCAGTACCCAGTGAGAGGCAACACGTTCGTTTCGTGAGTTGAATCGAAGTCCTAGTGGGTTTTGCACACTTGAATCAAGCGAAGGGAAAGGAACAGCAGCCATATCAAAACCAGCAAAACCTTTGTGGCCGAAATTGACCCGACCAACCCGGTTACGAAACGCCTCGGCGACATCTGTCTGATCCAGTGCAGAGGCAACTGAAGGGTTCTCTTTGAGCATCCCAACCAAAGCCCAAGCGAGTGCGACCACAGCATCGTAGGTGTATGTCTGATACCATTTATGCTGTTCGTAGACATCCAGCTGCGGCACTTTCCAGGGTAACCGGCCAACAGCAGCGTTGCGCTTCGAACGTTTCGACGGTTTCGAATAGGGTGGCGTGTCTGAGATCGGTTCCAGCTGTGGTGTGGTGGTTTGTATGGTGGCTGGTTTGTTGGATAAATTTTCGGATTCCGTTGATGATGGATAGAGAACAAAACCAGTATCACGAAAATCAAACTGGAAGCCACTGTCGAACACGTACGGAAGGATCCACTGATGTCCAACCGTAAAGGTCCACGAACTTATATTCGCCATCTGCTGCTCTGTACAATCGGTCAAATGAGAGACGCTGGAGTGTTTCCACCAGCCATTGGACAGCCATGGGTTCAGAAACCACACATACTCCGCATCCAAATGCATACCCAAATGGTAGGCAGCACACAGAACGCAATAGGTTCCTTTCGCCTCGTACTCAACCACGAAGATGCGGCTATTCAGCTGTTTTAAATTTTCAAGTGACTAAAACAGAACGAAGGGGAAAATTCAGCTCCGGAAAACTAAGGAAGCCAAAAAGCAAACGTGATATCCTGTCCATGCGAAATATTCATGAGAGTATGACGAAAACTAGCCGACATCTAACTCCGTCTGCAAATCCCTCCCAGTCACCCACTCGCTGCCGAGGCAGATGAGGGTTCATGGACACCCACCTTTTCCCAAATTTCTTCCGTGTGTTCTCAGATATACGGGACGATGGTGCATGGAACGTATGCCCTAACACTGGTGCTGAACATCAGTTCCATCCTAGTTGAGAATCATCAACAGTGTGCATCTCCCAAATATCTGAGAAGACCCGAACCCGTAACTTCCTGGTTGTAGCTGAACACGACATCATTCGGCCACTAGCAGCTGATCAGCGCTGAGACAGGATAGAGCGCCACTCATCCGACAACTACTGTCTCAGCACTGACTGATGCGAGTCTTGATAAGAAAACCTAGCTTGACAAAATGAAGACTGGCAAGAAACCGATTTCACGCGGGCACATTCAAATTTTTGAAGTGCAGTAACAGTCTACTGGAAAAGGACTATTTAAGGTCTTAGTTGAAGGGGGTGGGACATGTCTTATTGACTGTAACAAAGAGCAATGTGAAACCTTGCTGTATCCTGGGGTGACCATCTATTGGCTACGCCTGAACCGAACCTGCCAGACTACGCGATAAGACAGAGGACCACGGACAGGGCAGTATGATCAGGAAAAAACAGAGCCTGTCGTAGATATACAGGATGACTAAAGGGCCAAGCCCGGTTGTTCACTTGCTCGCTCTATACAGCCAATGGCGACACCCACTCCGCTGGTCGCACGCTGCTAAGCCGTGTTCGGTAGGCCCCACCCGCGCACTGTGCTATCCGGGACGTGTGGGATAGATGGTGACCTTGGGGACGCGTCGTTCCTGCATTTATTTTTTTCATGTCTGGACGTGTCCCGACAAAATTCAACTTCCGATGATGATAACACAATGAAAAACAGACTAGTGGGGAAGTACTGCAGCCCTCCCCTATAGGGTTGGTTATACGGCAAAATCCACTCACAAAGGACCATCTTTATCGTCCACGAACATCACCACGGCAGAAGTTAAGGCTTGTCGGGAAGCCTTCAGTCTAAAGCTACCACCTATAATGGCACCATAGACATGAGTTTGCTTCATGTATGTTTCCATCAAGGGAGGAGGTGATCGTGATAGCACAGTAGTGAACTTTGGTTACATCGGGCTATGATAGATCCTGAAACCGCCGTACAAAGACACCATGGCAAACAGTCCTGTATGAGTGCGGTTTTTCAAGCCCTAGGATGTCATGCGCACGGCTCCACTAATTTCAACATCAAGGTCATCATCTGTGCTGCAACATTGTACCAAATTTCAGCCTCGTTGAGCGGTAATTATCAGGTTCACAGTGAGGATCGACGGCTATTTGGATCGAAAGCCTACTTATCAATAAAGGTCAGGTTATCTGAATAAGCTAATGTTGCCTGGACACCTAAAATCAACAGAGTGATAATAATAATCGTTTGGCTGCAACACAACTTTCGTTGTCCAGCTGCCACACTACCCGAAGGAAGCATGATGGCTGGAAGACTGCCCGGTTGCCCAAGCCTAAACAGGGGAAGTCGAGATGCAGACGTCCGATTCGAACCACGGACCTTCCAGTTTGTGGGTCCGCGCCGTAACCACTGAGCGATCTCGAGCTATGCGGCTTCTAAGAACCTGTCTGTGGGGGCGAGGTCCTGTGGTCAACAGCCCGATACTGTTTCGGAGTCATGCTATCGTTTTCCCTACTCACAATCCAAGAAAGAACAAGAAGCATCATCTCCCTTTTTACCTGAGCTTTTCGGGATAGTATGATATTTGAAGTGACCCGCGAATGTTGATGGAAACATAGAAACCAGTGAAGGATAGAACAATCCGGGTCTAAAACGGGGACGGGTAGGCTGTCTGTACGTGAAACCAATTTAACCATATTTGATCGACGTCCGAGGTGACGAACGGAATGATTGGTTGAATCCAACCCCATGCATACAACATGGTGCGAAGCCCTATATATATAATCTAGATTGACCAAATCACGAGGCGAGGTGAAGGTCATCTGGGCACCGGTCTGACATTGCACATACTCCGGATGAGTGTTTGGCACAATCGGTTGCTGTGCTTTTTTGCGTCTACATCACAAAACTCAACAGTCAAAAGCAGCCGCAGCATTCGACAACACATCACGAAATAACGAGTAGAAAAGGTGAAAAATAACCCAGAGTTGTTTGGAATGCGGCTATAGTGAATGGGGTTATGAACACAACTCACATGTCGAACATTCTTGTAGGTCAGCTGATCTTCATCCATTTGCATATCGGCAATAATCTCAATGTTCATCGCTTGAAACAGACGGGGATTGAAGAAATGATCTGCGTCGCGAAACAGCACCACACGACGCCAATTCCACTGCAGAAACAGGCGCAACAGGATGTAGCTGGTTGGAAGGGAAGAGAATCATTAATAGTGTTCAGTTTGATGACTGAGATTTATATGTGGTGGTGGTGTGCGAGGAGTGGGTGAGGAGTAGCTCAAGAACGATGTCACATTAATGGTAGTAACGTCCCATAGTAGATCCCGTAACATGCAGAAAGGCTGTCGTTAAGGGACAAGTCTTCTTGTCATGCAAAGATTTGAGTTACCGGTAACAAACTTAATGCTTGCGAGTTCCTAAAAAGCACAGAGCAGAGGTGGAAAAGCTGAGGTCCCTTAGGAGATTAGCAAAATTATTGAGAATCCACAAAACTCTGAGATTTACTGATAGGATTTACTCATCACAAAGTTGCGGAAAGCTCGCAGCAGCCTACTATCGATTTTAGCCTGTCTGGGACTCTCTCTGGGGGGTATAACCTCTACAGCGACCGTTGTGGCTTGTCCCGGGGCTGCTATCCACGGACCTAAATAATAACGGTGTACCCCCTCCGGATCAAGGCTCTAACAACGTACGGCTGTGTGAAAACAGTAATGGTCAACATAGTCAGTTGTAGCACACTTTCGGTACCTAACTTTCGTGCCATCCAGAGGAAGCACGAAGGCTAGGATATTGCCAGGTCGCCCAAGCCTAGACAGGGGAAGTCGAGTGGCAGAGGTCAGATTCGAACCACGGACCACTGAACCGTCTCATATATATATGCCTATATGAACTCGAAATAGCTAAGGCACGAAACTAATGACCTCACGGTTCGTGATCCGAACCCAACCACGGGTTATTTACTGCTCCTGTCTGAGTTTGGACAACCTGGTAGTAGTTAGGCCCTCGTGTTTCCTTCAGGCTCCGCGCCAGCTGAGTGGAAAGCGTTCGACATACAATGATGCACCGACTCGACGACAGCTGACGGTGTCTGAAAAGTCATTTTGTGATCTCTTTGTCATGAAATTCAAAAATAATGCGGTCACGAGTGGGACTTTTTTCACGCAGTCGCGAGCGTTTCAAGACCTTCAGCGCCAGCACATACTGATAACACTCTGCTCTGGCAATTTGGCTCAATGGCAAATTAATCAATCACTGAAACGTTTCATTGACCTGGTCCAGACAGTACTCTTCGTATTTGATGATGGTATCTGTTGGATCCCCTAAGTCCTCGTTGTCTTCAAACGCTGAAGCATTGATGATGAATTGGATAACTTCGCCAGTTGCATACTAAAACGGGCGTTGTTTTGATACCGTGTAAAATGCGCTCAAAATTATAGTATCGTAGATCTACTTTCAGCGAGTTTGTTCTGGCAGGAAACATGAGGTGGTGCTGGTGGCGAGTATCTTTCGATGCCTTCCAGTGGCTGACAAGTTCACCTCGAACAGTGCGTCAATAAAGTTCACTTCAATCAGCGTCCGGATAATTTCCAGATAAAAGGTGAACCACGTACTACTGCGTACGACCGAGTCCTCAATAACAGAACTACTTTTAGTGTTCTCAAAACACGGTGGTTTGTCGCATTTGCGAGAAGTGAGAGGTCGGAAAATAGAACATAACAATTCGGAAACCTGTCGGACGGGGAGGGTGAGGTTCTGGAGACATAGAAAGGCTCGTGAGCCGTGAACTACTACTCACTTTGCTTGGGTCATAGAGGGTATGGTGCGAAAGAAGTATGGATAGTGGCGCTGTTCCAAGAACCGTGCAGTTGCCACAGTCGGACTGATGACTAACTTCTTGCGTATGTTGGACAGTTCGACCACGCTTTCCATATCATCTGACCGGATGGCAGCTTGAAATTAGGGGGAAAACGGGGGGATAGAAGTAAGACAAAGTTTTATAGCTGGACAGAAGCTTTCGCAGCACGAATCAGCAGACGAAAAGGTGAAGCAACTAGCAACGCATTGAGAAACCCACACATTGTGTTCCCAGATAGTTTGAAGGTTTGCCGAAATTTTCAGAAGGATAAAACTTGCGTGAACATCAAACAGCATACTGGTCACTCCAAAATTGTGCATTCGACCAGATCTAACTGAATGCAGCTAAAGGAAATAGATGCAAACGAATAACACGTTCGGAGGAGTACAATACCGTAGAAAGCACCGAGGATATGGACATTCAAAAAAACCCTTATTTAAATCAACAGTCTTTGGAAGACATTGAACCAACCGAGGGCTGCAGGACTGGTGGTTGAAGAAACTATAGCAGGCCCCTTCAATCATAGATTAACCCTATTTTGCAACAAAACAGTTTACCTGGGACAAAGATGGTATAATACACAGATATAAAAAAAACAGCACAGAGGAAAAGATCCCAAAAATCTCAATGACTACCATTCCTGTTAGTGTTGTCTGTTCACAGGACAGAGCTCAGGACGGGTAGCCAATAAAACCGACCTGTTGTGTCTTCCCCCACCAACACACTCACGGTCATATTCTAACCTCCAATTTGTTGGTCACTCGCTCACATTCTCTCCGAAAGTAAAAAGTCCATTTTGTGCTTAACGGACGCAGTTCACAGGGATGATTGTTGGAGTGATTTCGGTCACCTAGTCATAAAACAAGACCGAGGATGTTGTACGACATCACGTAGGGAATCGGTGAGAAAGCGGCTGGAAACAAACACTTTTACAGACCATATCTGCAGGTACTATACACCACTACATAACTTCAGATGTTAACGGGTAGTCAAAAATTACACTAGCAGGAAACACCGAAACTTGTAGCTCTCCATTCAAAACAAAAGCTACTGCCTTATACATGCCTTTGTCATAACTCACAAAAGTTTCATACAAAGATTACTGCTCCGTAAACATCTGAAAGTATACCATTGAATTGAGTTGAAGTTAATAAAAGCTGTTTGAAACAAATAAACGTTCAGCTGTAACACACTTTCGGTGCCTGGCTGCCAAGCTACCCAAAGGAAGCACGAGGGCTGGGATACTGCCACGCGTTGCCCAAGTCTAGACAGAGGAAATCGAGAGGCCGAGGTCCGATGTGAACCACGAACCTTCCGGTCAGCATATTCGCGCTCTAACCACTTGAACCATTTCGCCCCCATTGAGTTGAAGTAAACAGCGATGATTGAGCAGTGTCTTATTTTTGCCATCTTTGTTGTCATTCGCTTTTACAACAGGAGAATTCTAGTATACAGAATCAACCTTTACACCGGCTTACAGAGTCCAGTAGACCTTACTTAGAACACGCCTACAGATACACGCTACAACGCAGCAGGCTGAGTACACTTCACTACGACACTTATTAATGTGTTTTGAAACCTATACGGTTCTCTGCCGTGTATATTAGAGCATGGCTATTCGATGCTCCCTCTGCTGGCGGATTCGACTCTTGGACACAATTTACCAACGTTATCCGATGAGGCCAATAACAGGCGATTTGCGGTGCACTGATCCTTCAGATATACTGGATTCACCGCCTAGAGTACGACTTGCTAAATGTCAGTTTGTCCTACGACGTTGCTTATATGATAAGAGAAAAATTGCGTTTCCCTACCCAACTCCGCGGCGAAGGCCTTCTTTTCATTTGGTGGTTAAAGCGCGAATTTACTGACCGGAAGGTCCGTGGTTCGAACCAAACCTCTGCCTCTCGACTTCTCCTGCCTAGGCTTGGGCGGTATCCTAGCCCTCGTGCTTTCTTCGGGTAGCATGAGAGCTAGGCACCGGAAGGGTGAAGGGTTTGACACTTATTAACTCGGCAACTGTTTGCCGAATTCGGAAGTTGGCTTGTAAACGTTTCGTCACCATACGAGAAGGGGTCATTTATAGTGACTAACTGTGGTGTACAGGTTAATCAATCGTCCTCGTTCCTCGCGAATGATTACGGTTACATGAATACCTGTTTTTTGACCGATGGATGATTCGAATGAAAGTAAGTAATCAAGAACAACCACGGAAGCACATTAACACGATAGTTATTGCTTCCAAATCATCATATTGACGCTAAAAATTTGGGAAAACTACTTGGGATTCTGAAAAATAAGGCCTTCACCGAGAAGTCGCTTTTCTGATCAGTGGTGGACGCATACAGGTGGACTAAATTAGGAAGAGGGATCCAAGAGCACTAAAACCTCAGAAGCCGGAGCCATTGATCTCTTAAAGCGTAAGGGAGCACCTATAGGTTAAATGGCGCTGGTAAATTTGGTACGGTGCAGCCACTGCTACGCTACAGGTCACTCTCCAGTGCGCCGGTTAGTTTTGAATGCATCAACGGTGACAAGATTCCATTCAACGGTGGCCCTAAATTCATGCCCCGTGAATATGGCCAGTCTTGCTCATTTGAAACTTACGTACGTCCTAGGTTTGGTGCTTAGCAGATATTCCATGAAAGTCTTGAAACGTATAGGTATTACCGCTTGACTGCCGAAAAGCAATGGAATCACATAAGGACCGGGATTACTAAAAGCGGGGAAATACCCGAATATGCTGATGTCATGGATCTGCGTATCGAATAACCAACTGTAGTTCACATATAAACGGAATCACAAGGTAAGAACCACATAAGGAATTACTAAAAGCGGGGAAATACCCGAATATGCTGATGTCATGGATCTGCGTATCGAATAACCAACTGTAGTTCACATATAATATAAATCACAAGGTAAGAACGACTCATCATCATCATCATCGACAGCATGACATCAGTGCTCAACACCGATGCTTCACTGCCCTACAACCATCATTTATTTGAAAGCCTTATTGCAAAGAAAAGAGTAAAGGTGGACGGGGAAGGGACTTAGTGCTAGCTTAACACAATCATTCCGAGGTGCCTGCACCT